ATATTTATTAACACCCCCATAACTAATTTTATGAAAAACTCTAGAAATTCGAGACCATCGGTTTTCGTGATTACAATAGTAATTCACAAGGCTTTGAAGAATGCAAATCATGTTTTTTTTTGTTTTTTTGGCCAACGTACCTGAAAATCAGCTGTGAATTGTAACATACAAAACTCAATAAAACAAATATATTATTTAGTTTCAAATGCTTTTATTTGTTTTAATTTGTTTTTATGAATATGGACAATATTTTCTGAAAGCAAAAAATTTTTTCAATGAAAATTGAATTTTTAATACAATTATTTCTTATTTCTTTAATTTTAAAAAGATTTTTAAAAAATGTTTAAACTGAATTTTAAAAAATATTTTAACATTAGTTAAAACTTAAAAGCAACATCAACCTTTCAAAATGTCCGTGTGAGATTGTCATTGTTTATCGCTTTGAAAATTGTATAATTTGGACCAATCAGATTAGCCATGGTAATTAAGAAATGTAATTTTTGTGTTTATAGTCGGACAGTAATTATCAAGTACGGAAGACCAACCAGAATACAATTTAGTTGCATTATTTGAGTTCAGCATTGTTCTCCACTGTTAAGCCCTTTACTTTTTTTTGAAACACTTATGGAGAAGTTAATTTGAGTTTTCAATTTCAACTGAGAAGGGTACCTACAAGTAACAGTATCATCTTGTGAAATTTAACTACTGCTAAACTTTAATTTATATGATCTTATTTTTATATTAATCTCAGTTATGACATTTTTCCATAAATGAAATATCAAAATTAATAATAAAATGAATGGAAATACAAATAACAAAGTAAAATATAATAAATGTACATAAAATTATAGTATATTATGTACACTTCTGATAAAATTTCATAAGAAAGGTACCTAAATTAATTAGATACCTTTTTCTTATGAAATTTAATCTCACTATTAACAGTCTTATTTTTTAATTTCTTTATATTTTCCATAAAGCATCGTAAACGTAAAAATGAAAGCTAAGTACAAAAAAAAATTTTTTTAAAATAAAAAATAAAAAATTAGAGCGCTGAAAGTTTTCCTTAAAAGTAACAAGGTAAATAATTTGTTCACTTAAATAATTTCACTTCCTTCCATCCGTAGAAAGAATTCTCCTCCCGTAAGTTATCTAAACGTCATGAATGTGCCTTTCGTCAATCGTCAAGCGACGCGAAAGGTTATGACCTGCTTTGTTTTATTTTCAAATTACATTTTTTCCGCGCAGAAGCTAAGTTAAGCTTGGTTCAAAATATTTTAAATAAACAGTATAATTTCTGTTTTTATTAAAATCAGTTTTGAAAAATGATAATTGATTTTTAAAAGAATATCAAAGTATGATTTTAATCTTTTTTAAATCGAAAAGAATGATTGAAAATGATTCTGTCCTTTTTTTGACCAAAAAAACAATATTTTTAACGAAAATTTCAGACGTGCTAGGAACGATTAAAAATGTAAAAAATACCCCCAAATACTTTGATCTTTCCTCTTTAATAACAATATGAAAATTAGACGATAAAATTTTGTTTTCGTCAAGTTCGGCGTCTTTTTTCATCATGCTATGCTCTTTTTGTTTACATTTTCGTGGGTGAGTTGTCCCCCTTTCATTCTCACGATGTGTCTTAATCGTGTTTTCAAAATGATTTTCTTAAAAAACAACTGTGTTTTTCCCATTTTCGGTCCCGTTAGAACCACCACAAGGTAATTTTATGTAGTCCTGTGAAGTTTTGTTGAAATCGGCTAAAAAATGTAGGAAATTCGATCCAACATATAAACGTTACAGACACACACACACACACAATCTGCGTTTTATAATAAGTAAGATTATACTAACTCTACAGGAAAAGGTTTCCAAGAACTTGTGAAAAATATGTACAAGGATTACTTAACCATAAATAAATGCACTGCTAATACTACAGATGGTGCATCTAACATGCATTTACAATGAGTTTCCCACTTGGTAAAAGATTCAGTCACCTGGACAAATTTATGTTTGGGGCTATATTCATGCAATTATTTATATTCATATATGAAATCTTGTAATTAATGATGCATTTTGGTCAGTTACTCTTGCCACTTCACTGTTGTTTTTGTTACAGTTCATAAAAAAATAAATGCTTGTGGTACAAAAAAAGCAATAATTACCACTTCCAAACAAAATGTAGGGATAGATCTATTAAAAATATTTCACTTTATAATGTCTCAGATAATAGACGAAGTGGTAAGAATTGAACCTGCACTACTATATAAGCTACTAACTCAAAAGAATACATAGTTTACATTAATGGGTCAAGATATTTACTCAGGACATTTATGGCTCAAAAATGACCCAGAACATTTTCATTGACAAAAGGTGGGACTTCAAAAATACATAAATAAATAAAAATACACTTTCAAATTGCCTCTAAAATTATATTTCTTCAAGTCTAAAACTAGACACACAAAAGACGACAACAGCACCTTCCACATGGGCATCATAGTAAGCACACCACTTGTCTCTTCTCAACTAATGAGAAGACATAGGGAGAGCAACAATTAAATTTGGGTTTTCATCCAGCTTCAATACAAAGGGAGCAAAAAGCCCTATGGTGCTCACGGCTTGCACACACAGCAGTGTACATAAGATAACTCACATCAATCACATATATGAGCACACACAAGAGTATCCACAGCAAGCACACACAGCAGTGTACACAAGACAACTGATTGCAATGACAAATAGGAGCACAGACAAGAGCATCCATAGCAAGCACGAACAGCAGTGTACAAAAGATAACACACAGCAATCACATATATGAGCACACACAAGAGTATCCACAACCAGCCCACATAGCAGTGTACACAAGAAAACTGATTGCAATGACATATAAGAATACACACAAAAGTATCCATAGCAAGCACAAACAGCAGTGTACAAAAGATAACTCACAGCAATCACATATAGGAGCACACACAAGAGTATCCACAGCAAGCACACACAGCAGTGTACACAAGACAACTGATTGCAATGACAAATAGGAGCACACACAAGAGTATCTACAGCAAGTACATATAGTAGTGTACAAAAGACAACTGATTGCAATGACATATAGTAGCACAGACAAGAGTATCCATAGCAAGCACGAACAACAGTGTACAAAAGATAACTCACAGCAATCACATATAGGAGCGCACACAAGTATATCCATGGCAAGCACACACTTAGTTGTACATGTATAAAGATAAAAATATATTCAGATCCTTTAGAGAGAGAGAGACAGAGAGAGAAATCATCCTTTTGATGGCATTTGATTCACAGAAATATTATATAAGTATTAATTGATGCATGAATGATAAACATTTTCATATATAAAACCTTATATAGACAATGAAAAGAAAACTTACAAGAATTTGAAGTCATGTAAATCTAATAATATAATACAATCTCCAATAGTTTAAAATGACAGAAAGCCAAAAATATGATCAAATAAAAAAAACCATTCATCCTGCTAAGAATTGCTTCTAAAAAGGCTTAAATGTAAGTTATCACTTTTTCTATTGATGCATGCACCCCTATCAATAGATCTGATATGATTTAGACCTCTTGGCTACCTCGACAAGCAAAGTTGATTCGTGCCTTTAAGCCCAGATTTTTCTCTGACTCTAAAAAGAGGATATGAAATAGAGCAGATATATCTAACATAAAGAAAGGGATGGATTTTTTTCCTCAGGGAATGCAGATTCAAATTCTGCTCGAAAATAGATATTTTTCTCTAATAAGATTTCTCAAATTTTCAAGCTGGTAGACTAAAATGCACATCTTTCTATATATTCATCTCTTTGCTTATATGCATATGGCTCTATTTATATATTCATTTCTTTTTTAATATAGGCATATATATATATATATATATATAACACTCACACCTAAAAAATAAGAGATCAAAAAGAAAAATTTACTTCACTTAACCCAGCTTAGCTGATATTGTAGAGAATATATCATGTCCTTGTTCAGGCAGAATAATTAACTAATCAAATGATTCTGTTTAGTATTCAAAATCCTGTGATCTGCTAGTCATTTAGAAAACCAAAAGTGAGTTGTCAACTGGAAAGACCTATAGATCAAATAGTTCAAAATAGAGAAGTGATAGCAAAGGAGGTCAAGCATGACAGCAGCAGCAGATGGTTGACAATTAGAACATTATATTTAGAGCTCCATGGTCTATACTCAGGACTGTCTCATGAGACAATAGCTTGGTGTATCAAAATGTTGGTTCATGAATTTGGTAGTAATTGCAAGTTCAATCCATAGGCTGGGGAGTACATATTTAGACTCAGTAAGAACAGAATGGAAAATAATGGAGCAGTAGTAAATAAAAGCAAATGAGATATCCCTAAACATGGACAGTAGAATAAAAACAATCTACCCCCATAGATTAAATAAATGGTTCAATTGAAAATTTCCAGAAAGTTACAAGCTCAACATACATCTGAAGAATGTTGGAGGTCACAACAACCGAAATATTGTGATGATAATAACAAAGATTATGTAAATAATGATAATGCCTCATCCTTGAAATTCAGACAGGAGATCAGATGATAATAGCAGCAAAGATGAGAACATTAGTCAGAATGTAAATAATGATAACTCCTCATCCAGAGCCTTTTCATACAGTTTTGTAAATATGTATTTGCATATGATTTATTATTTGATTGTTGATATATAAAAGTTTATTGTTGTTATTTAACATTTTCATTTTCTCATTAATTCTTGGTTGAAAACTAAAAACTGTGTCACAAATTGTGTTAGCTGCCTTAAGGTTAATAGAATATTTGTTGTCACACTAAATAATCTTGTATCTTGTACAAAATGCCTGCATCACTTTCCCCATATTCATCCTCTCTGTACATATGCAAGCATCTTTTTCTTTATATTCATGCATCTTTTTATACTTGGATGAATCTCTTTCTATACATCTATATAGGCACACTTTGTCTTACTTGAGTTTTCTGATCTTGTCCTGGAGATGTCATTATTATTGTTGTTGATGTGTTCATTTATTTTACCAACTGGGAATAATGTTCTGAGTAAACTTGGTATAAATGCAGTTGAATTCATAATCAAAATTCCTGGTACAATATTAAGTTTTGGGTAGATATCAAATACCAATAATGACAGGCAAATTGTGTGAACACTTTCAATCAGCAACACCTACAAAATATATAAAATGAATTAAAGAAAAAAAGTAAAACATTCTTTACTGAAAAGTTAACAAAAAAAATTCTTAGTAAATAATAAATATCAAAAATTTTTCATAACCTTCAATAAGAAACTACTTAGAGTAAGTAGTTTCTTATTGGCTGTTAGAGAAATACAATTATATGAACGTTATTGTTGAAATATACAATTATGAATCTTAAAAACTTTTCATTCAGATTATTTCAAAGAAATTCTTTCTATTAATGAAATATTAAAGTTTTCAATGGGGATTTATTTTTACTTCATAAGACATGATAAACTAAAAATACTTTATTCATAATGATTCAAAATTAATATTTTCAAAATACCTGTAAATCACAACTTCAAATAATCTTAGGCATATTAGTAACACTATCAACATTTAATATTTAATTAAAAATTGATAGAAAATGAATTGATAGTTTGAATGTATGGTAATTAGCCTTTTTGGATAATGTCATTAAAGTATTTGTTGCATTTTTTGCCTATTTTCACTTAATTTTAAGATCATGAATGCTGCAAGTAATTTTAAAAACATCTAAAATTTCTAAATTTCCTCACTAATTTTTGATATTGCCTATAAAAAAATAAATAAATGGTAATGTGATTGAACTTCAAGTATTAAAATTTCCAACCTTCACAATTTTAATAAACAATAAAAATTTAAAAATTCAAGATAATTTAGAATCTTCTAAATGAACATATTGTAAATTATTTTCAAATTCTGTGTAAACAACTTTTCAAATGTTTTTCCAAAATTTATTCAGATAATTGAATTATTCTTGTTGTTACATTTTGGCCAATCCATTTTGTAAACTTCTTTAGAAAGAGAGGGAGTCTAGTGAAAGAAACATTCCCAAAGCTAAGCAAGGTGCTGAGAAATGTAAAAATTTCATTAGAAATGGAGAAAAGAATGATGGATTGCTATGTGATAGCCATCTTCTTATATAGCAGTGGGAGGAGGCACGGTGAAGTAATAGATAGTGGCTCAGATTGAGGAATCAGTAGAGCAGAGTTCGAATTCCAGTTGAATCTGTTACATTCACTTACGTGCTAATAACCTTGGGAATGGTATGAATCCTATTCTTCTCCCCCCACCCCCAGCTATAGGTAAATAGCAGTTCAGACCGGATTCTATAGATTTGGATGGCAACCGGTCTACTGTAGAAATAAATGGCAACCTACAACGGGAAAAAATCTGCCTTGTCAGTCATGTATTGAAAGATACATGATCGCCTAAGTGTGTATCATGCATGGCACATAACTGACTGACTATATGGCAGTGAATACTGGGTAATCTCTCCATAGAGGAGGAGAAAACTGGAAGCAGCAGAAATGTGGCTCTACAGAAGGATGCTGAGAATTCCATGGATGGAGTGAATAAGCAACAAGAAAATGGCAACAGGAAGAATACTTATAATCAGAATCAATCAGAGGCTGCTGAAATTCCTTGGATACATAATGAGGAAGGAGGTCTTGGAAAACTTAATACTCACAAGTATATACTGGGGGGCAACAGAGATAGGGGGGGAAGGCACTTAGCTGATGAGTTTGCATGAATGGATGGTGGAATGGGGGAGGCCTTAACTAAGTTGTCTTGAATGGCCATTCTTTTAGATATTTTGCATTAAATGCAGGTGTCTCCCCAGGGCTGTTATCCTTCGAACTATGTTGTTCTTAATTTTCATCAATGACACCTTACTGAAGTCTACAACTATTTACTCCTGTCTCAATAGTAAGTATGATTGGTTTGATAAGGTCAAATGGGCAGCTAATCTTAAAATGATCTACAATCTGTTGTAAAATGGGGCAAGAAGTGACTTGTTAATTTTAATGCTTCCAAAATAAAACTCTTCTCTTTTAATTATCTGAGAGAATCCTTTTTACTTTCTATCAGCATAACTGATGTTAACCTCAAGTCTCCATCTTCTAGCATTTTCAACTGACATAATATGGAAAGAGTATATTAAATCAACTGCTAAATCTGCAGCTAGGAAAGTTGGTTCACTATGCCATGCTAGACAATTTTTCTTGCCAGAATCTATTTTGCATATTTATAAATCTACCATTTGTTCTTGCTTTGGGTATTGCTACCACATATGATCTGGTGCTCCTGCTATATATTTAGAGATTCTTGATAAAATCTAAAGAAGAATCTGCAATGCTATTAGTCCTGACCTGGCATCTTGGCTTCAGTCCCTTTCCCACCACCATAACATAGCTTTCTTGTGACTTTTCTATAAATATTTTCATGGTAATTGTTCTGATGAACTTTCTTCTATGGTACCTAGACTCTATGAATTTAGGTGCAGTACTGGATTGGTGACAAGGTCACATCATTTTAGTGTTGAAATAGATGTAACCGTAAGTTCTATGCTAACAGTTTCTTCTATCGCACTTTTTGCTTGTGGAATTCTCTTCCGGCTTCTTACTTCCCAGTCAACTTTGATCTACAAAAATTTTAAATGCAATGTCATTCGTTATCTTGTATTCTTAATTCCTGTTCTTTTATTGTCCTCTTTCCATAACAGTAGTTTTTCTTATATTCTCTAACACTCATTAACCTCTTGCATCCTAGTCGCTTTATTGCCTTGCTTGGGGTGAAATGATTAAAAATATGTTAAAGGCCACAAGAGATAGGAAATTGTGGAGAGCCATGATTGCCTATGTTCTGAAGGGACACAGCACAGCTTTCTCAAGATACAACTAAGAAAGGAGGATTGTTTTATACCAGGTTAATATTTACTGAAAGACAAAAGAGAAATACTAAATGCTCAAAATAGGTTAATCTGATGGATTATCTATTTTTGAATTAAGAATCAAGTTAAGAAGAGAAAAATGATGGATAATTCTCAACTTGTATTTGTTCTCCAGTTTTAATTTTCTAATTTAGAACTGGACTCAAAAGACTTTCTTGGTAAAATCATTGCTATAGTCATTATAAAGTACCAATTTTAAATTGATATAGACAATGATTTTTTTTGTCTCGAATCATTGTCAGTTGATTGAATTTGCTGTTCTTCAGAAATTGATAGCTGTTATATTTACAAAATTAATCAATAATTACTTTTAATTGTAGAAAAAATATATGCTTACCTTCAAACAAGTTTTGAAACTGACAGTTTTCTTTGATCCAAATAAAACTTTTCCCATTGAAATAATAACTGTTAAACCATATGGAATGCAGATAGCAATAAGCAACAATGTGAAAAATTGATTACTGCTTTTCTGGAAAAAAAAGGAAAGGAAAATGTTTTCACAATAACATACAATATATACAATTCCTTTTTTCATTTTTAAAAGTGACTTTAATGTCATAAGAAACACACACACATACATACATACATACATACATACATACAAGAGGGTGTACATATATATATATATATATATATATATATATATATATATATATATATATGTGTGTGTGTGTGTGTGTGTGTGTGATAAAATGTAGTTTAAAGGTATGCTATATTTATGGATAAAGTGCTCAGTATCAGGGATAGAGTGTATATAAATATAAAAGTGGGCATTGAAGTCAACACCCAGCTGTGTCAGTCTATTTTATGCTTATACACAATTGCCTGATGATTGTATATAAGCATGAAACCCTGTCACAGCTGGATGTTGACTTCAATAGGAAATAAATAAGTAAATATAATGAGTAGCAAGTCTTTTATTCCAGGTTTTCTAATTTATAAAATTAGCAGACATTTCAGTTATTAGCATGCACAGTTTAATTTTCATATGTGACACTTGTTAAACAATTTTATTAAGCATTTCAGAATCTGGTCACGCTAATTATTTCCTGAATATGTTTTAAGGGTGAAAAATTTAATCTTTTATAATATAAATTCTAGATGACTGCACCAAAATATTTTTTCTTTCTAAAATCTCTTAAAATATATTTAGTAGTAATTGTTAGTATGGTAGTGAAAAGGTTAAGTGCAAAGTAACTTAGGGGGCAAGTACACATAATTAAAAAAGAAAAGAAAAGAAGTATAGCAAAATGAACAATATTTTTTTATAAATATCACAAGGGACTTTGTTAAGAATTATTAATAACATAAACAACAAGCATCAGCCATAACTTTGAGGCCAGTTAATTGTGCATCTATTTCAGTTAAGTGATTGGTTATCCAAAGGTTCTCATAAGCATTTTCTTAGAAGTTTTATGTCAAAATGTTAATAGTAAGTCTGGATAAAGTAAACACATGACAAAATACAAGGATATTCCTTATCAATTATAAAAAATAAGAAGTAAAAATGATCCTCGTATGATTGAGACATTTATCAAAATTTTCTGTACTAGAATCTTTTTTTAAATTTTACAAAAATGAGTACTGATTTTTTTTTTGCATTAATTATTTTGAAATCTATACTTTCAGACAATATGTAAGTGTAAATATGAAATTGAGTTACCTGTTGGTCAATGAGGGCAAAGAGAGACAACTTCTGTGTGACAGTTGTGCCCAGTACAATCAGGAAAAGTAATACGTAGAAAACAATTTTAATCATTTTGATCAAAGTTGTATTTTGTAAGGCAGAAGTATTTGGTTCATCTGCTACAGACTGAAAGATGTCCCAAGGCCTGAAAAGAAAAAGAAACAAGAGACAAGGCATGTAATTAGACTCAGAGAAAATCTTCAATCTATCATTATTTATAGCATACACTGTAAATTTAGTAGGAAATATGTTAGGAAATGAGAAATTTCTTCTGCAATTGCTTTGGTCATTAAACTGGAATAATTTTTATATTCCAACCCTGAGTCTGTGCAGAGTGTGATTTTGAGAACTAAAATTTGATAAAAGAAATTATGTCGCATGTGAGGGTCAGTCAAAAAGTAATGCCTGTTCTTTTTTAGTTACAACAGATATAATAGTCAAAGTAAAGAGAACATACTAAGATTCAAAACAAGTTTCTGGACTCAGATTTCAAATCTAATCCTCAACATAGTCTCTTTATTTCTCAATTGTTGTATTTCACCTTTGAATAAAGATATATTTTCCCACCTCAGGTAAAAGCAGCCAAGAATCTTCAAAGTATTTTGGCTGCTTTCTTAACTCACTTTCTCACCACTGGAAAACACCACTGGGCCCAAACAGATGAATGTTTAAGGATACCAGGTCAGAATTATAGGGTGGATGAGCAAGGTTGTCAAGTCATATATTGTGATTGTCTGGTCCTTAAGCTGATTTCATGTTGTACATTGCTCATTTTCTCTTAGTTTAGACAATGTCCTTATATATGAGTGAGAATTGTTAGTGGTGTCATTAGGTATAAGCTATAACAATATAACCTCCTTCTGCTTCCAAAAAACACAGTAGCCATCACATTCCCTGTAGGGCATACTACTTTAAATTCCTTCTCTCTGGGTGGCTCTACCATCACTCATGTGAAGATTTTAACTCCACAGAAATGAAATACCTAAGTTTTAAAATTAATTTAAAAAAATGAAAAATCTTCTTAAAGCTTTTATTTTAGTTTTAATTTGAAGCTAATAGATTAAATTTAGTATTTCCAATAAGCAAAGCAATTGACTAGAAGGAGTTTTTGTTTTGAAATAATTAAAAATAATTGATTTTAGTGCCATTTTTAGCCATCTGTCAACACAATGTAATTATCTTTATTAAAAAATCTTTAAAAAATAAATATACTTTTCTGAAGCTTTATTTGAGGAATATTAGCACATTTAAAGTTTAATTAATCTGATTTGAAATAAATATTACTTATTTTAAATTTAAAATATTGCAGAAATGCATTTTTAACATGATGTTTGTGTCAACCTGTTTTGACAGTTTGACAGCTTGATTGACAGATGGAAGTTTATCTAATTTTTTTCTATGGTGCACATGTCTGTAAAAATTACTTGAGGAATATAATGTGACTGCCATTTTTATTCATTTTTAACTACCCAGAAATCTTTAAAATTTATGAAAATATTCTCTGTAATCTAATTTTCTATTGAATTTATGTACTTTGGTTTTAAATTTACTATAGTTAAACTATTTATTATAGTTTACTATTTAAAATATTAGTGGGTGGGGGGTTACTGAATTGTAGTAAACTTTTCTATTTATGACTAGTACATATAGTCTTTACTTAATAGCAATATCACCTAACCAGTACAAATCAATATAGAAATTTAAAAGATTTAAAACTTTATAAATTATTCTAATTAAAATTAAAAAAAAACCAAAAACAATTGTTGCAAAAATTCATTATTCATCAAAAATTATTTTTCTTAAGTTAATAGTATTCTTAAATACTAAAATCTAGGGGCCTAGGGTCAATGGTTATCTGCCTGCCTTTTTCTTGCCATCGCCACTTCCTACTTCCCCATGCTCATATAACACTGCCACCACCACCCCACTGAGTGAACTAAAACAAAAACAAACAAAAAAGAAAACTAAATTTGTTTTCCTATCAACTCTACCATACCTTTCTTGTAAGTACTTCAATTTATATTCATTTATTTATAGTAATAGATAATAATAACAGTAATAACATAATAACTATATAATACAAATAAGGGTAATAACTAATAATAACATTAATAACTATATAATACAAATATTGATACTTACTTAAGAAACCAATAAATTTGACAAATGTTTAATATTTTACCAAGTGAAATACTGAATTATTGTCCTATAAAATGGACAAGTGAGAGGTTTCATAAAGTTTAGAACATATTCTAAAATGGATATATTGGATTTGGAATAAAACTGAAAATTTTTACTCACTGCATGTCATCTTCATCTTCAGATGATGAAGATGAATGTTGTCCTTGCTCTTTTTTCTTTTTTTTTGTTTTCCTTTTTAATTTGGATGAAGCATTCTCACTGATAAGTCCCAAACGTGAGGTAATGTCATCAAGAGGAACAGCACCATCAGATGTGTAACTATCACACACTTTGCTTTCAACATTGATTTTTACACTCTGAAAGGAAAGAAAATTTAAGAAATAAAAAAAAAAAGATTTACAAAAAAATTATTAGTTATACATGTATCTCTATATATATATTATATGTTGATTTATAAAGGGTAGAGTTCAAAATTCCCTGAAGTTTACAAAGATTGACAAAGAAGGCTGAAGGGTGCAATGGCTAAAACATAATAGTTACAATACAGATGGAGACATTATTCTGATTGGAAATATTGTAAATAGTGATAACTCCTTATCCCAGAAATTCAGACACAAAATATATGTATATCCTGAAAATTTATATATAGGATAAACTTTTGTAAAATTTATTGAAACATTTTGAAGGATATTAAATGATCATTTGATTTTATTTAAGACCTTATTGGATTACCAGCCTTGATAATAATTACAGGCAACCCAATTTTTTAAAATCTCATTTTCCTTTTGACTTTAGAGCAACAACATATGTATTTCTTTTCCCTCCCCAGCAGAAACATGACATATAGATTCTTCATATTTATCAACTGAAGATTGTGTTCAATATTTAATTGCATGAAATTACTGAAAGATGATCTGAAGAGTCTACTAATTGGTTAATAATTACAATTCTCAGAAGAATAGATTGACTAGTTGGGAGAAAGATGGAAAAGAAACAAGTTAATAATTATACTTTAAAAATAAAATGAATTTGAGAACGGTTTAAAAGAGAATTAAATCTAGTTATGATTCAGTAATATTGAACAAAACAAAATTTTTCTCTAACCTGTCCAATTCCCTTTGATAAGAGGAAGACATGATTAATGTGTTGTTTGAATTTCTTGCTCCTGAAAACCCAAATTCAGGGTTTGTTTATGCTAATACTATTCACCCAAAACACTATTATTCTTACAGAAAAAGAGTAACCAAAATTCTTTAACAAAGAAAGCCATGTGGTTTATGAAAAGATTTCCTAAGATGGTGTGATTGGAAGTGGAAACATTAGCAATATCAATGTCAAATTTTAGTAGGGAGTTGTCTATATAAATGAAGACCCTGAATCAACCCTATTGATCATCACACACCAGACCCAATCAAGGAGAGAAAAGAAAGTCAGATGACTTGTAAAGTCAGTGTTACTCAACAAAGTTAGTGGATATAGCTACTGTGGACTGAAGGAAGTTGAGGGTTACAAAAGTGCCACACATTTTGTGGGCTTTTCAAATATTTTAATGGTTTGGTTACTTGCTGTGGTTAGCACCACAAACACTGTTTGGGCAATCAAATATTTTTGAAAATTATTTTTGAATATTATGTATAATATTAATTTTTACCTTTTTTGTCGTAGGGATATTCCGTTTTCTCAAAATACTTATGCCTGCCTGAAATAAAAAAAAAAAGGTAAAAATCATTATGACAATTGGAAAGATAATAAGTTGCAGTATTTTCCTACTTTTAAAGTAGTAATTAACTTACCGGAAAAATTATAACCATTTTATTATATACTTTAAAAAAGCCACAATGCCAATATTGATATAAATATTGTAAATTAAGATGTTTGTTTTGCATTGTGAAAAATAATTTCATTAGAAAAAACCAAAAACTGCTTTTATTGCCTTACTTCTTGAAACATTGCTTGTCTTTTCCTTTTGATTGATTGCCAGAATCTTTGGATCTTGATGGCTGAGTAGGTCTTTACAATTTTTAAGCACTTACAGATGTACAAATAAGATGGTTGTTTTAAAAATACCTGAAAGATAATGTGATAGATGATAAATGAGAAGCAGTTATTAAAAAAAAGGAAATATTTTTCTTTCTTGGTACGATTTCATATTCTTCTAATTTTGTCTTGTTGGAGCTTCCTCTACAAATAATTCAAATTCCTAAAAGTATAATTAAATGTACAAATAATTTGAGTTTGGACCAACTTATAGCTAAGTCCAAAGATTATCTTATTTCACTCAATTTGTATGTGTGGGGTGAGGGAATGAATTAATCAAATAAAAAATATCCATTTTTATAAACTAATGTTATTCTTGAAAACATGAAGAACTTATTAACTATATAAGAGTAAAACTTTAAAAAGGGCAAAGATCTGTTTTAAATCATTTTTATGAATAGTGCCTTTAAAAGTAAGAATGTTTGTTGGTTGCAAATTTATCATTAGTATCATCTTTTTAAACAGGTATTTACTGCTATTAGAAATAAATAATTCTTTAACAAAAATTACCTCCTTGCTCAATAAAACTAACAGATGAAATGGAATGAATCATTTTAGATTACAATTTTTTAAAACATCACAATTTCTCACCTTGTATGTACCCAGTCGATATTCATTTGGATCAATATTTAGGTATGTCAACATGGCATAAACCTGTTTTGTGTCATCCAAATGAGATTTCATGTATTTGGTTAGTGCACTATACCTGTTCAGAAAAATGTAGTCAAATTTAATGATAAAGAAAACAGTAAAAAGCACAGTTGTGGCAGAGTGACCACCTTGCCCAAGATTTTAGTAGTTTATGAATCATGTTACATGGCTGAAGTAGTTATACAAAATAAATAAAATGGAGTTTGGGGATACAGGAAATTAAGAAAACTATAATGTAATAAAAACAAAATATAGTTAATTAGAACAATATACAAACACTTGATGAAGGCTTTGAGATTGGAATTGGTGAGAGTCAGAATCTGCATTCTTAATCTAAAAGATTAGAATCTTTGAATGACTGAGTGAGCAAAAATTATCTGAATATTTTCCTCTTCACCCAAAGTACATGTATTTCTCATCACTTGACCAAACTTCATAACTATATTTATGGATTCATCTAGTGGCTCCAGTTAGCCAGCTCAGGTATCTGTTTTCTGTCAAGAGAATCTCCCACGTGACAATTCCAGTGTTGAAAGACTTTATAAACAGAAAGATATACACTTGCAGGTACTGAGAGTGACTGCTCCCAGTTTAAGGTCCATCTTGTCTCCTGGCTGTTAGAGATAGAGCTACATTTTGCTAGAGTCAGAAGAGCAGAAATGATTTTAAAAAAGGAGAAACTGACTTAAAGAATGGAGATGAAAGAAGTCTATTATCAGATTGACTGTCCATAGTAAAGAGCCTGAAAAGAAAGGAATCCTTGTGCAGAGACTAGTGTTTACTCTAGCTACAAACAAAAAGATGTGTTATAATTGCTAATAATAAATAGTTGTTTGTTATCAGAATGGCCCTGTGATTTGAATTTTCAGCAAAAGGTTTATCACAGTCTTGTCAGATATCCAATTTGACAGGTAAACATCACTACTTGGTACATAGCATAGCATGGCTAATTGCAATATAGTAGGAACAGATTATGGTTGGTGTAGTGACATTCACAACCAATAAAGATTGCTACAGTTAAAAATAATAACAAGGCATTCAGTGAAGAGTATCCAAGTCCTTGAGGCCTGGCCTGTCATCAGTTTTATACAATTATGGCTTTAAAAATGCATTTCAAAAGGCATTTTATTGATGATATTACCCTCTTTTAAATCTTGCAAAAGTAGTAGGTTTCAAAGGTTGTTTTTAAGAGAAATCACAAAGTGAAATTAAAGCTCACATTATGGTCTGCCAAATGTGAGAAGCCATTATGCAAGAAAAGATTTTTGACTCATCAGATATGGTAACTTTTCATATTGTTAAGTTTGTTATATTTGATTCCATTCATCTTTCTTCATTCAAATTTCTTGACATTAAGTTTTTACATTAATAGCATTTCTTGTCATTATTTAAGCACCTTTTTGTGATAATTCATTTATGTGTGAATAAAAAGAATGAAACATATTTACAATTTTTTCACTATCCTATATATATATATATATATATATATATATATATATATATATATATATATAGTCAAAACTAGAGAGCCAGTGTCTGGCTCTCTAGGTTTGACTAGGCCTGCTCTACTTTTGTATTGAGCACTTTTTTAGTTAGTTGATTACTCATATTGGAGTTTTTTTCTCTGGGCTTTGGACCTGTATGCTGTACGATTATTTTGACAGACGTTTATGTTCTTTTTATGTTTTTTTTAAAACCTTTTTTTCCTTCGAAATTGATTTGATCATTAGCAAATCAAGAAACCGAAGGTTTTCCGAAACGAGTGTAGTTACCTATATTTATATATATATATATATATATATATATATATATATATATATACAAATTAGTTTTGTTAAATTCAACCAACAAGTTTTGCCAATTTAATTTTTATTGGGTTTTCCCAATTTTTGAATAAGATGTTGCCTTGCATATCAGAATCAAAACTCTGATTAAACTCAAATGTAAAGATGATTTGCTTGTATTAAAATCAATGTAGACAATGCTGATGTTCATGTATTTTTTCTGTTTTATTAAAGTACTTTTGATTGTCTCAGTCATTCTCAACAACTGAGCATTGTTAGCAGACAAGATTTTGTTGACAACAACCTGACATTTTTAAATTGCTGCAATTGAAATCAGTTCAATATGATGTCATATGTAACAGTTAAATGGAAAAGTATGCATCAAATATTTATGTGTTGTTTTTGTATATGTATTAAATTTTGTTGCATTCTTTAACTTGAAATTTGAACAGTTTATCTGCAGTTTTTATCCTAATATAAATCTGAGTTGAAAATCAGAAAAATTAATTAAAAATAGATAGACCATGTTGGATGAATTCTTGCTGACTAATTACTCCACACACACACACACACACACACACATATATATATATATATATATATATATATATATATATATATATATATATATATATATAAGGGAGAGGTTACAGTTGTCCTAACAAAGAGAAAAGTGTATATTTAAAAAGAAAAGAGAAGCCACAAACGTTTTTGGTTATAATGTGGATTTTTTAAATATATATTATATTTTATTTTCTATATATTTGCTACATGTGTTTTGGGTCTTGCAACTTTCATCAGGCAGAATTTTCTTGTAATTTCTGTAAATATTTCTGGAACTATTTACACAAATTACAAGAAATCGAGACCTACTTAACAAGAATGATAAAATGAAAAATATACTAAAAACGACCAAAATAATTAAAAGCAAATGCCAATCAAAAAACTAAAACACATATTAACCTCATTCAAATACAACCAGCACACAATACAGGGAGTCACAAAATGCAACAAGAAAAGATGTGGGGTTTGTGATATCATTATAGAAGGAAACTCCTACACTTCCACAACAGCATTCACAATAAAGAAAATTTAAATTGCAACTTCAAAAATGTGATTTATGCATGCAAGTGCACAAAATGCAACAAGTCCTATATCAGCCAAGCACTAAAAGACAGAGTTTCCCTTCACAAAAGCAACATCAAATTAGCAGAGAACAGAAAACTCTTTGTATCACAACATATCTACAAATGTAATCAAGGTTAATTTAAAATTATGCCAATATATCAAACAATTATTCTTACCTACAAATACAAGAAAAAACTTCATAGACAAATTTAAACCAGCACTAAACAGATCATAACCCCACATACATAAACAGACAGCATACACACATAATGACCAGAACACATTAGTTGGATCACACACACACACACACACACACACACACACACGAACCCTATACACCATAGAAAGTTAAAAATACTAATTCCTTATAATAAAACAATATATATATGTATGGAGAAGGAATATGTATACACATACTAGCAAAAACACACATGCTCACACAATGCACAAAAATAGAGATAGGTTTAAAAAGATACAGAGATTATAAAAAGATATAAACAAAGATGTCCTTCCTTTCTCTAATCAATCCTAATTGTTTTATTATACTTTAAGCAGAAGAATATTTTCTCCACAAGTCCAAGAAAATTTGAATTATTACTACACACAAAAGACAATGGTTAAACATCAAAAAACATAAGTTAATTCCTTTAAATAATATTTGGAAATAACCACTTTTTGCCTGATGAAGGTTTCAAGACCTGAAACACATGTAGCAAAAAAATGGAAAATAAAGTATAATATATATTCAAAAAATCCACATTATAACCAAAAACGTTTGTGGCTTATCTCTTTTCTTTAAAATATATATGTGCGTGTGTGTATGTGTGTGTTAGGTATTGTAAAGCCAATACAAGGCAGTCTTTGTGATAATTGAATATATGAAATATATCGTGTATGCATGTATGTGTATGCATTTAATCTCACAAACATTTTATGATTAAAAATGTGTGTAATATGTGCTTCCACATAGTAATTTGTTTACCTACCGATGAGTTAAATAAACAATAGATATAACCTGCATTGTAACTGAAGCAGTCACATATTTCTCACTGACACCTCCGATTAATACATGAATCCAGGTAAAATGTTAAGATTTCAGATATTAAGAAAATTATCAAATAAATAGGAATACACTTTGCTCACATATATATATGTATATATGCCTCACTTATCTGAAAGAAATACAATAAATTTCCCTCTTTGTATTTTCACTTGATTTCAATTCACCTTTTGTTTTGTAGAACACCAAAATTATAAATAAATTAATTGAATTCTTGAAAAGGTGTAAGTCTACTTGACTGTAATTTTTGCCACTGTCTTGAGAAACAATGAATGTCAATTGGGCATCAAGGAGTAGTGGAGGTCAATGGCTGAAAGGACGATGAAAGCAACTGAGTAAATGTCAACAATCTCCTCTGCCAGTGACAACCACTGGTGAGATAACCATCCCGTCTAATGATAAGAACTGTAATACACCTGTAAATTAAATAGTCCTTGTCAGCTCAAATGATGACTAATTTGGTGCTTCAATACACTTACTACTACTACTACTACTATGATGATGCATAGATAAAAGTTTCAAGAAAAGTTCTGAAAAGTTCTAAGCCTAACCTACTTCCCAAATCTGACCAAATGACCAAACAGAATTTTGCAATGAATCCTTCTTGGTCAGATCAAGAACTTTTCAGCACCCATTCATATTAAAAAGATCTCAGATTAAATGCCCAACTAAATCATTACTTTACATTCACAGTTATTTTATTGGCTATTTTAAGATATACAAAATATGAAAGTTACAACTGCAATAATATTTTTGATAAAGAACTTATTCTTAATGTATAAAAAAGGAAAAAAAATTCATATTATAAATGAATTTAATGTTAATTTTTTTTATTGTTATATGTACACATCACTAAAAATGATTTTTTATTGTCACAAAATACATAGACTAACAGAAAAAAATGACAACACTTGGGTAGAGTATGTACATTCTAGGAGATAATAGATATTCTGATACAATTTTGTCCCCTTCAGCCATCTTGTGATGTAGTAACACTCATAATAGTGCATCATCTGTGTCTTTTGAAAACAATGTATGTTGCAATAAGGTTCATTGTAGTGAGGTGTCATGCCATGAAGATAC